CACTCTTTCCCATGGGTAGCAAGTACATACAGTTTAAGCAGCTCTGAATAAGGGCTCTTGTTCAGGTTGATAATTGCCCCCCTTGGAACTTATTTGTAATTTCCCTTTAAATAAGTTCCACTCTTGCCTGATTAACAAATGAAATGCATAATTTCAAATTTATGTACATTTACGTACATTTATGTAATAAAACATAAATGTACACAAATACTACAGTTATCACTCCTATAATAACTAGGATCTTCTTAACCCATAGAGACAAGTCCAGGAATCAGGAAGGTAGCCAATTCCATACTTCTTGAAATCTTAAGGAGGTATCCTGTTTTTGTATTTCATGGCAGACTTTGGTATGTTTCTAGATCTCCTTAAGATCTGTGGTGGGCCACCCTGATTGTTCTAGGTATACACATAACTGTTTTTTTTCTATTGTGCAAACACCTCCTTGAGCTGCTAATAGTATGTCGAGGGCAATTTGATTCTGAATTGCAATGTTGCTAATTTGGAAATCCTCTTCCTCTGAGGCCATAATTGCATCCATAGTTTTGCTTTCAATAATCTCCTTTTCTCCTGATATATTTACTATAGCTTTCTCCAGTTCACTAACTTCTAACCAAGGTATGAACCTGTTATAGTTGAATTAAAATTACTAGAGTCCGAAATAAATTCACTAAACATTTATTAAGGTAGGAAAGCAAAACCAGCACGCTGGGCGGCCTGGGAGTAGCAGCTCTACCCAAGGCTCGCAAATTCCAAGTAACACAGCCTTTTTATCCTCATGGAAGTCAGTTTTGACATCTTCGGCACGCCTCTCAGCGTCTTTTTGTTATTATAACGTCTTTAAGACTGGTGCTAGCTTCAAAGTCGGTTTGTCGGTTTGAGCAAACAGTTAGGCTTTCAGTCACATAACAATGGGGGCTGTGCATTTGTTAACAAGGAGCTGTGAAGTTGTAAATTACAAAACTAATTTGTTTTACACTAAGGTCTAAACTAAACAAAGACAAAAGTTCAACAGTTGTCGTAATATAAGATTGCAGTTTAACAGTTGCCTTGAGACAGTACATCTTGCAACCTCACACTTAAGTCCTTTTTCCCTTGCCAGACAGACAGGACTTTCTCAGATCTGTTGCAGCAAGATCATTCCTTTTATTAAAAACTCCGTTTAATCTGCAAATTACCCTTGATCACTTATCACAAACAATCTCACAAATGAATGGTAACTGGTAGGTTGTTCTACCAATGGGGTACTTCTATTGTGGACTTTCATGTAGAATCTTACCCATGTATCTTTTCCTAATCTTTTGGTAACTGTCACTTTAGGAACCAGTCCACTTAAGGTACATGTTCCAGCCCAATTAGGAGGTAAGGTTTTTCATACATCATGACCAGATAGGCAATACCATCCGGTTCCTTGGGGTGTAGACCAATATCCAGTTGGCTTAACCCTTTTATGCAATTGCATAAACCAGCTACAATGTGGGTAATGCCACACTAGACACATTCCCAGCTGTTAGTGTCTTCTCTGTTTTTAGGCATTTCACATCTGGATAATGCTGGGGTCTCCACACCCCAATCTTGAGAATTTACATCTAAATTTGGGCTGTCTGGCCTGATCCATACATTATTTCAGGATACATTATGAGACAGGTACCTCCATAATGGAGATTCCTTTATTGTAACGTTCAGGGAAATGAGTACAGTCAGTTTTATTTATCACTGTCACTGTCCTCTGAATCATAGTGAAATGAACATTCTGGTTCCAGGGATCCTGATGGGTTAATGCCATCCAACTTATGCCAGTATGTGTACATATTATCCACGCTAGAATTAAAGAGTTCATACTAAAAAAATTTCTAAAAACTATTACTAAGCCAAGCACAATTAAAGGTATTAAATACAGATATACATGCACATAATCTAGTTCAAAATATGATTCAAATGAGGCCCAAGTGCAATTCATACACTCTTTCTCTGAATCTTCAGTTTTAAAGGATTATTCTCTTGTGGTTGTACCTCCCAACTGTCAGGTGTAAGCCCCTTCTTGATCTATGTGTAGTGGATCCAAGGTTTAACTTCATCCAGCTTCACAGCAGTCGAAGTTTCAGAAGGACTTGGAATGTCCTTTCTACCTTTCTTTCAGAGGTTCATTATTACAGGTTTTCAGGTAAACCCAATCTCCTGATTGATAAGAGTGGACCACTGTGTCTAATTTGCTGTGTCCTGTGTTGCAAATACCTGTTAAGAGATTATAGGACTTTTCCCAAAGATATTACATATTCTTTTATAATCTGAAGAAATAATAATTTCTTCATTTCCTGGTTCTTGAGACAAGCTCTGGTATAGTCACTCATATAATATTTCAAATGGGCTAACCTTCTCTTTTGATTTTGGTGTTATCCTTGCCCTTAATAATGCTAGTGGGAGAGTCTCTGGCGATTTTTACTGAGATTCTTGACAAATTTTACTCATCTGTCTTTTAGAGGTTTGATTCATTCTTTCCACTTATCCACTTGATTGTGGCCTCCAATGAGTGAGTAAATTCCATCTTATTCCCCAAATTCTTGCCAAGGACTCAATTTGCTACAAAATGAGGCCTTCTATCTGAGGATATTCCAAATGTAGGTATTTTGTCTTTCACCAGTACCTTAATCACTTCTCGAGCCTGGCTGGTGCAACAAGGGAAAGCTTCATGCCAACCTGAAAAAGTATCAGTTAATACCAGCAAGTACCAATACCCATTTTGCATGGGAAGTTCGGAAAAATCTATCTTCCAATAATCTCCAGGTCTATTTCCTGTCTTTATTTTTCCTGGTGAAGATCTGGGCTTATTTTTCAGATTGTTTTTCTGCCACATTTCACACTTGTTAATGGTGCTCTTTGCTATACCTGTCATTCCTATGCCTAGAGCATAGGTTTTTATGTTATCCAACAATGCTTCCATTCCCCAACGGGTTTCTTTATGTGATTTTTTTTCTAACAGCTCTCTCATTAGACTTTCAGGGAGTATCATGAGCTGGTCTTCAGTCACCCACCAACCATCCCTGTCCTTTTGTGCATTTGTTACTTTAATCAGTTGGTCATCTTTTTCTGTATACTGTGGGGGCTGGCCCAGATTTTGATACTTTTCAGGTCACAAGCCTAATATTTCTTCTTCTGCTGCTTGCTTTGTGGCCATATCAGCTTTACAATTTCCCACAGTGAAGTGCTAAGGCTTGGACAACTGGCCCAAGCCAGAGTTGACCTACAGATGAATCCTGTATATTTTATAACTGATAACCATTGTACTAGTAGGTATTGTACTAAATTATAACAAACCACCTATTCTGTTACACTGCAAGTATTGAAGCCTGAGCAACAGGCCCTGAGCTGGAGCTGCTAATTCAGTATGTAATCATTAGTGAAATATGTATGGAAGATGCAGCTATTTTGAATGTATCTCTATCTTTCTTTGTGTGTGGATAAGATAATGGGGTCATGGAGACCATTGTCTGGCACTGTGACCTGATGTGAGACCTTGTGCATAATCCCATCAGATAAGCAGAGAAACTCCCTTAGCTTCTCCTCTGAACCCTGGCCAGGCTCTGGGGGGAACCTAATGTGAGACTGAAACCAGATATTTCTGCTTAAAACAAAGATGCCAGCTATTCTGGCTTACTGATTTTTGGGTATATAAGGCTGGACCCCCTCACAGCGACTTTGGAAGCCTCACCCATGGGTGGCCACACCCCGTAGGATTTCCCCCTTGCCGGGACAGGCTCTGCAAACCCTCACTGTAACCGGGGCTGCCCAGCCACTGTGGGTCTGGGTGATGGGAACGTGTGCAAGGGGTGAGGGATCTTTCTTAATCACGGTTTTCTCACTCTTGTAGTAATGATTTGATGCATTACCCTGAATTTTCCTATTTTTTTCCTTTAAGTATACTATTCTGTCTTTTCTTACTGTATGTCTTTTGTATTATTCTGTTATATTATTTAATTATCCCAGTAAAATACACCTACTCTTTTCACTCTGGTGTTTGAGTTTAATTGGTATCTTTAATCAGCAGAACACACAGCTACAAAAGTATCTTCAATGTGATGGGCCTTACATGATGGCTACTTGTTTTGGAAAATTCATGGTTTCCAATAATTTTCTTATCAGGTCTCCATATTTTATGGGAGTTCTTTGTGCTGATAAAAGGTCACTTTATTTCCATAATGCTCTGTGTGCATGGATCACTCCAAAAGCATATCTAGAATCAGTCCAGATACTGACAGTTTTAACAGCTGACATCTCCAAGGCTCCCTTCAAGGCTCTTAATTATGAGCAGAGGTGCCAGGTGGTACTGCACCTGTTTCCAATTTCTGTTACCTTTTTCCATTTTCTGTTACACAGCATGTCCTGCCTTTCTTTCTCCATGATTCACAAAAATACTCCCGTCCACAAACAAGTTCATTTCGATGGGCTTCATGGATATGTCTTTCAAATCAGCCCTACTAGAATACATTTGTTCAGCTGTTGTCAGTCATGTTACAGATGTTTCCCCTGGCAAAGGTAACAATGTGGAAGGGTTTAACACAGAGATTTTTAGCTCTGTGTCATCCTGTTATAACGGTATTGCCTGAAATTTCACCATTCTGCTGGGAGGCAACCAATGCTCCCCTTTTTTCTCTAACACAGTTGTTAGTGCATGTGGTACTTGAACTTTTCTGCACCAAAGTCAATTTTCTTGCCACTTGTATAAGTATTATTGTAGCTGAAACTTCCCATAAACAAGAAAGCCAACCTTTACTTACTTGTTTTTTAAAAAAATATCCTACCAGTCTCCTCGAAGATTCAGTCTTTTGAGTCAATACTCTGAGCGCAATATGTTGTCTTTCATGAACGAGCAGCTCGAAAGGTTTTTCTAGGTTGGGTAAGCTGAGAGCCGGGGCTGTCATTAATGTATGTTTTAACTGAATGAGCAATCGGTAACAATCTGAAGTCCATTCAACGAGATCCCCAGGTCCTTTTATAGCTTCAAGTGGAGGTTTGGCTGTTAGTTTAAAATTAATTATCCACAGGCGACACCATCCGGCCATTCCGAGGAATGCACTTAGCTCCTGTTTAGAAGTCCTATTCAAAGTTCTGTTTAGATGTCGACAAATCGCTTCTTTCCGTTTTGCTCCCAGGCTCCGCTCTCCTTCGGTGATAGGTAAAACCTAGGTAAGTGGGCAGTGGTTTGCATTATTTGAGCCTTCTTCTGTGACATTTCATATCCGGATGCTCCCAGAAAATTCAAAAGATCTATTGTATACTGCATACAGTCTGTTTCTGTCTGGGAACTCAAAAAATGTCTTCTACATATTGTAATAAATTGACACATCCTTCATTTTCTCTCTGCCAGGTTTCCAGTTCTTTTGCTAACTGATTCTCGAAAATAAATGGGCTATTTGTAAATCCCTGTGGCAGAACATTCCAACATAATTGTGTTTTTTGACTAGTAGCAGGGCTTTCCCACTCAAAGGCAGAAAGTTTCTGACTTTCTTCTTCTAGTGGGATACTCAAGAAAGTCCAGTACAGTAAACGACTGATCAATTTCCCTTGTTGTAGTCAGTAAGGTATATGGATTGGCTACTACGAGATGCACATCTTGAACAATTTGATTAACAGCTCTTAACTCCTGGACCAGCTGATAATCATTAGAGTGAAGTTTCTTTACCAGGAGAATAGGTGTATTACATTCAGATTCACACTCTCTTAATAGTCCATATTTCATAAAGTTTTCTGTTACTTGTTTCAATCTTCTCCTTGCCTCCAATTTTATAGAGTATTGGTTTTATCTTACAGATTGGGCTCCTGGCTTTAATTTAATCTTCACACAGCTAATTTCAACTGACCTGGTACTTCAGATGCCCATACAAGGGGTCTCGCCTCATCTAAAACCTCTTCTGGTATCTTTGTGTTTTCTTTTGCTGTAACAGAAAACCTTGTGCCTCCAGCAATTTTTCTTCAGGTATCTGCACACGGATGTGATTACCTTCAAACATGATTTGGCCATTCAATTTACTTAACAAGTCTCTTCCCAATAAGGGCATAGGGCAATCAGGTATGTACAAAAGTTTATGCATCAAATTCTGGGATCCATATCCTCATTTAATAGGTTGGAAGAATGGCTTGACTTCTCCATTCCTTGTGGTGCCAACAATGGATACACTTTGTTTACTCAATTTACCTTTACATGAATTTAAAACTGAACATGCCACACCAGTATAGACTAAAAAATTCATTTTTTCATTCTCCAACTTCAAGGTAATGAGGGTTTCTGTTGGGAAGACTCCCAAGTCACCCCCTGGTCCCCATCAGTTGGAATCCTGATCCAAAGTCAACAATTTAGTGAGTTTAGCATTTTCACTAATTTAAAGGAGTGTCATCCACAATCTAATTTGCAGACACTCTCTCTTCCAGTGTTCCTTTTGTTTGCAAACTGCACACTGATCTTTTTCAAGGGGACTAAAAGGACCCCTATTTATCCCCCTCTGATTCTGAATTCCTCTATTCTCATTCCACCTTATACTTCCTTGATTTCCTTTCTTTATTGCTGCTGCTATGAATCTGTCTCTTTTAAGTTGCTCCTTCACTTGCCTTTTTCTTTCCTCGTCCTCTCTATTATTGTACACTTTCCAAGTTGCCTCTAGCAGTATATTTATAGTTCTTGCATCCTCCCCCTTGTACTTCTGCAAATTCTTTCTAATGTCTGTACAAGATTGTTCCACAAATATGTTAGAGACAGAGCATTTTCTTCCTTTTCTGGATCTAGATCTGAGTATTCTCTGTCTGTCTCATACAATCTTTCATAAAAGGTTGAGGTGTCTCATCTTTTTTCTGAACCACCTGCTAAATTTTTGCCAGATTTTTTGGGTCTGGAACCATCAATTTTTGGTATTCTCTTAAAAGTAACCTTTGTGCTCTATCATTTGGATCCCAGTTAGGGTTCACAATGGGGAACTGATCTTCCACCTTCCACTCCTGTGCATCCTGTATGTGTAGTCTCTCTGGCTTTTCCTTGGCTTTTGCCATTATCATTTATCTCTCTTCACATGTAAAGAGATTACTCAGAACAACCTCCACATCAGTCCAGATCATGATTTTCCATAAGTCTCTAACACTTGATCTGCCCTCTAGATCTTCCCTGTAGGTGCCTGTCACTTTCTTCCAAGCTCTAAAGTACCCTGTGGAGAAAGGAACTTTTACCCACACAGGCTCTGCAATGGATCCCACCGCTTGTCTTAAAGGGGCCTGCAGCACAGCTTCTCCTCGTCTAGTATGACAGGCTACCAGACTATAACTTCCACTCCTGTATTCTCTCCCTACTTCCTGTCAGGTTCTCTCTCTTCCCTCACTTGCACATTTTCTTCCTGGGCATCAGATGACCACCATGGGACCAGTGGTCCCCTTACAGGCCACCAACAACTGAACATCCTCTTCTTCCTCATCATGCTTACACTTACACCAGTTTCCAATACTATTTCCAATACTACAAGCTGAGCTGCATTACTTTAACAATTTTGATTTTCCATGTTCCAAAGCCAATACATTCATATCATTAATCCACACTTTTGTACTAGTATAGTAATTTCTAAGAGTAAAGAACAAATCAACGTAAGGTATTTCATCCCTCTTCACTTCCCACCTACAAAACGACATTAATTGCAATATTGTATTATATTTCAAAGTTCCATCCTTTGATTATTTTTCCTGATCATCCAATATATACATTGGCCACCAATGATTACAATATACAACTAACATTTTCTGAGTTAATGGACCACCTCTAAACTTTTGCCAGTGTTTCAGTATACAACCCAGAGGGGAGGTTCTTAAAATGGCTTCCACAGAAGATGACATTACATTCCTCATTGCCCTTTGTGTCTACCTGCTCCTGTCACCACCATACAAACATAGGAGATCCCCCAGCAGCTGCAACCACCCTTTATCCACCAACATGTACTTTTCTAGTACAACTTACTTATGGATTCCTTTCATTGAGCAATATCTCAACTTGCTTCGAGTCAAGTACTCAAAGCCCTGCTAGGAAATCACTAGGGAAAGTCCCCAGAGAAACCATCCAGTGCCCACTGAAGTTTCACTTGTGATTCCTAGTGGCAAGGAGAGTAGGCCAGACTTCAAGTCTCATTGTTGGCTGAGTCCCGGACAGCAGTGTCCCACCTGGGTTGCCAGACAAAATGTTACCTGAAATAAAGGCTCTTGAAACCAAAGATTGCTTTAGAAAAGAGATATTACTTTATTCTGTGCAGGGTGCTAGGTGGAAAGCATCCACAAATCAAACACCTCACAGCAAGGAATTACAAAGTATTTATACACTCCAAACTATGTGATTACATATGCTCTCTAATAATTATTGGTTAGTTGCTTATCTCTCCTATCCCTTATTGGTTAGTAACATATAGTGGGTTTGTCAACTTTCTGAGCAAGGTCCAAGGGTAAGGTCTGTATCTGGGCAGGGGTCTTAAGCTTGTTTATGTAAGGCAGTTTTAACAAGCTCCCAGGTCCTAGGATGTTTGTCTTCTTTAAGGACTGTATCTTCTGATTAGAAGTTCATTGCTAATTATGGTTGACAGTTTGAGGCACAGACTGACCTATCTGGGGCATCCAATTTGTCCTTGTGTTTGATGAGAAACACTTGTCTGGATAACAATACGCACTAAGTGGGTGCAATGAGAAGCATTTGTGGAGCCTGCAATGTGTGATGAGAAGCGGCTTTGTGGCCTACTACTCCTGGGAAACAATACACTCCCATGGGTAGCAAGTACATACAGTTTAAGCAGCTCTGAATAAGGGCTCTTGTTCAGGGTGACAACCCAAAGGGTAGTGTATTGGGCAGGGGGATTAGACCCAGTGGAAAGAAGAGACCTTTTCTCTATTAAAATGCCTATGGTGGGCCATATTTTCGAAAGCATGCAGAAAACTGCCTGCCTTCAGCTGATATACAACTGCCTACTAGTTCCACAACAGCCCTCTCCCATGCAGTATGTGACAGACCCTGAAAGGTTACATCCTTTAATCAGGGGATTGCCTGATGCCTTGAAGCTGTATACTGTCCCATTACAAGACTGGTTGCAGTCCTCAGCTGAGAGAGAGGGGAGGACCCTCAACACAACTTGGGAACAAGTAGTGCGAGAATTAATAATGTATGGGAGATGCATGTGATTCACTGGCCAGGGGGAAACAAAATCTAAAACATCTATTAGAAGGGTTGAGGGAAATGGGAAAACAAAAGCAGTAACCTTGAATAATCCACCACAGCAACCTCATGATAGGAGATAAATATTATGGATGGAGGGAATTTCAAAAGGAATTTCTTGTGCAGTTGTGCATGGCTTACCCACTACCAGTCTAGAAAAACTGGTAAGTAGTTGTGGCAAGATAAAAGTGGATTTTCTCTTCAAAGTATCCTCAGCTCCCCAGACTTGAATACTCCTTTCACTCCTCTCAAAGAGCCAGTTACCCTGAAGTTGGGAAACCCATCCTGCCATCCTCAGTGAGCTGGAGGATGGCTAGTGGAAATATCTGAGAAGGCTCATAGAGAATAACAATGGAGATTTACTGATTACTTTTTTCCCTGAGCTTTTTCTGAACACCTATTAACTTTCTAGTAAATATGAGAGTGCAGATGTCAGCTCTGCAAGTGAGTGAGTCCAATTGCTGTGGCATATAATGGCCAACAAAAAGCAAATTTGATTTACAGATGTGTTTGGAAATGCCTTACTCCAACCAACTGCTTGAGTAAAATGTTGGTTGCCTGGGAACAAATTCCTGACAGAGATCCTTATGATATTGGGGGATTGAAATGCTGGGGTTTCAACCCCAAGCCCCAAATTAAGGTTGACATATGGGTGATTCCCACAGCCCTTCACAAAGGGGGGGGGGCAAGTTTACCTTTAGGCTTCCCTCCAGGGTGCGGCCGGCCTTGCAGGGAGAGCCCTTGGGTAAATGAGCCCCAGGTGTCTGCATTAAGTAAACAAGGGTCAGGTGTCCCACTTAGGGGTAAAAGCTGGGACCCCTTGCAGGAAGGGGCAGTGTCTGTTTGTGAGGTGGATGCACTTTGCAGAGTTCCCTGTTGGGGAAGGACCTCCTGCCTCCCTGGGACTGGGCTCCAGTCAGGTCTGGCTTTTGTAAACGTGGGCTGTGTAGAGATTCAGTATGTGGCTTCCTTGGTCTTATGTTATTTGGCTTAACTCAGTTGTCTCCTGTCCCTTCTATGGGAGACTGCATTTCACCATTTATTTCACCCCTTTTTGGTCGTGTTGTTGGGGTCAGTGGGATTCATGTTGATTATGTATAATCTGACTTGTTTGTAGCCCCAGCGCTCACCCATGTACTGACCCTTTTGTATCAAATACGCTTTGGTTATTGGTTCATCTTTATGCTGGCTGTGTCCTTTATGCTAGGCCTAATAATTTGCAAAACAGGGATTTACCAACAAAAAATCTGGGGCTTGATTTGTCAGAAGGGCATGCTTGGATAGATTCAAGAGGAAAAGAGTAGATGTTCAGCCTGACAGTCTTAGTATGACTGTTGCAATGAGAACCTGAATTGCCTCCTTCTAAGACTGTAAATGTTAAACCCTATCCTCTCCCTCCAGGAGCTAGAGAAGAAATTATCCCCATTATTTCACATCCAAAGGAGAAGGGTATAATTATCACTACACACTTCCCCTATAATTCTCCCATTTGGCCTGTACACAAGCTGAATGGCAAATGGTGGCTAACA